ATTATACTTGATTGTAAAAGCAATTAGCCATCGGGCATGATTTTGCAAATAAAGTTTCTATATTATTGCGATGCCAAAATGTAGTTCTCTTCTATCGGGCTTTGTTTGATCATTTCAGACCTGATTAGCTCTATACGGGTAACACTAAGACAGGAAGCTTGCAAATAACAAGTCTATATAGATACATTTCAAGCTTCTTAGGGATATGGCAGACTGGATTAAATCATTGTCTATCACTAGAAGCTGATCATCTGTGGGATCGTCTTATGAGACATCAAAGTGTAAAGATAGGAACCATATATGCCTAATGCCAAGCAAAGGACGTCGTTTTTCTTTATCTTCGTTGCGTTAAATCCAAAACCTGCTACAGAACGTGCATTCGCTCCAACAGCTACTATCAAAGGAATATTACCCGTGTACTGCGAAGGCAATTAGTCAGTAAATTTCCAGGCCACTAGACTCAGCAGCTCATTAGCGCAAGCACGACGTTAGCAGTTGGGCCTCATGAGACTAGGCAAATGGAGCTTCTCTGGCCGGCTACCTTCTCTTCCCAATCAATACCCTTTTTAGGCCGATTTCTACGATTTATTCAGCCCGCAAAAGAAGTCTGTTGGGGACTATCATGAGACTATCATTGACCCTCCGCAGTGATATTGTAACTGTCTAGTAAATACATGTAAATATAGGCTCGTGGTCACTGATTATTACAAATGGTTCAAAAATTTGAAATAAGAAGCAGCGAGAACGCTGCTAAACCAGATGCGGGCAAGCGACCACCCCCTGCACTACATGATCACTAGTGACAGGAAGGAAGTAACGGAAAGGACACTCAGAAATCATAACCATCACTCTGCGCCAAAATGTTGAACTGAGAGACTGAGGCGATCTTTCCTATACCAGTCAACATTGCTATATAATAAATCTCTAAAATGACTTTACCGGTAATTTGTAACTATGTATGTATATTTATAATTTAAAAAAAATTTAATATTTGTAAACAATATGTAATTGAATGTCAATGTATATGAATGTTTTCTCTTGAGGTTTCTAATCTTCCGTGATATTGTGATATTGTTGTATTTGTAGATAATCCTTGAACCTTGAATGGTTCAAGGTTCAAGGTAGATAATAGCAATAATTCAGACTTGTGCAAATTCTGACAATGCTAATAAAGGTTTCTTATGTTTTTTTTATTCATCAAAACATGAAAACATAACAAGGACAGTGTGACGCTGCACTCAAGTTTATAACTTACATTGTATATTAACAACGCCACACAACAAAAAAGGACAATTACATTTAAATATACAAAGTTGACATATCTGTGCGCCGTTGTCCCACCACCCCAAGACATTGAAATGTTAAATCAAATTAAATGCTAAAAAAGCTATGTTTCTTATGTTTATGTATAAGATGGATGGGTGTTTACATAAAGCATTTCCTCTCAAGCAATAAACGAATGAATGAATGAATTGATCAGCCAACCCAACACTAACTTTGAGAGTCTTAGAGATGTTGAGCTATCTTGTATACCCGCAGGCTGTTGTTTGTGGTGAAGCCCGACTGGCACGCCAGTGTGTACACCGTGCCGAAGACCCTGGTCATCGTGGCCGCATCCTGGGTGTACAGCTTCCTGTTCGATTTGCCGCTGCTGCTCGGCTGGGGGAAGCACTCCTACGACATCAAGACCATGGGCTGTACCTACGACCGGACCGACACCTTCAGGTAAGGTTTGATACGACATGGGCTGCATGGATCAATGGTAGGACCCTGTAAAACCTTCTGGTAAGGTTTGATACGACATGGGCTGCATGGATCAATGGTAGGACCCTGTGACACCTTCTGGTAAGGTTTGATACGACATGGGCTACATGGATCAATGGTAGGACCCTGTAAAACCTTCTGGTAAGGTTTGATACGACATGAGCTGCATGGATCAATGACAGGACCCTGTGACACCTTCAGGTAAGGTTTGATACGACATGGGCTGCATGGATCAATGGAAGGACCCTGTGACACCTTCAGGTAAGGTCTGATACGACATGGGCTGCATGGATCAATGGAAGGACCCTGTGACACCTTCAGGTAAGGTGTGATAAGACAAGGGCTGCATGGATCAATGGAAGGACCCTCTCACACCTTCAGGACCATGTCAACGACCCGACCTATATCTTCAGGGAAGGCTTAGCCCTAAGTGGCCTTATCCTTAAAGCCTAGGGCTACGTGCAATTCGTTGCGTCAGCAATAGCTTAAATCTAAGCCTAGATCTAACATTCTAAAGGTTACATGCAAATACTGCAAAAGACAGAAAGAAAGAATTACCGGTATATCTGTGGCCCTGACGGCTTTTAAAAGCAGTTACACGTACCTCAAGCGGCCGTATACTTAACGCATAGGCCTACGTGCAATTCGTTTTGGCCTCAGCTATAGCTTAAGTCTAAGCCTAGATCTAACATTCTATAGGTTACATGTAAGTACTGCAAAAGAAAAGACAGAAAGAAAGAAATTACCGGTATATCTGCGGCCCTGTCGGCTTTTAAACGCAGTTTCATATATCTCAAGCGGCCTTATACTTAAAGCCTAGACCTAAGTGCAATTCGTTTTGGCGTCAGCTATAGCTTAAGTCTAAGCCTAAATCTAACAATATAAAGGTTACATGTAAGTAGGGCCAAAGACAGAAAGAAAGAAACTGCCGGTATTACTGTGGCCATGTCGGCTTTTAAACGCATTAATTTTACATGTATCTAAAGCGGCCTTATACTTAAAGCCTAGGTCTAAGTGTAATTCGTTTTGGCCTCAGCTATAGCTTAAGTCTAAGCCTAGATCTAACAATGTAAAGATTACATGTAAGTACTGCAAAAGACAGAAAGAAAGAAACTGCCGGTATATTTGTGGCCCTGTCGGCTTTTAAAAACAGTTACAAATGTACATGCATGTATCTCAAGAACACTTTTGAACTTCATTCCCTAGTGCCCCCTCTTCGAACATTCTCAGAAAGACACGTCTTGCCACTTCCAAGACAAATCACCCTTTCTTCCTCCATTCACCACCTCTTAGGAGGCAGATCCACGCTGAAAGCTTCTTTCCCAGAACAACATTACTATGGGATAAGCTACCTCGTGATTGTTTCCCTTATGAGTATAACCTTAAACTTTGCAAGTCTAAGGTCAACAAACATCACTGGCTGTTCTGTGACCCAAAACATTTTGACTGGCTCCCATGAGCCTTGTTTTGTGGTGACCTATGACGTAAATGAAAAAAAAAAAGTAGAACGTCTCCCATCTCTCCCCGCCCCAGCTACACCCTGTTCCTGGTGATCGCTGGTATCGGCCTGCCCCTGGTGGTGGTGGTGTGCAGCTACAGTAAGATCTTCTACCACGTGCATCAGAGCAAGATGCGTGTGGCCGTGCACCTCGCCAATCCTAAAGGGTAAGTTCGTTATTTATTGCCTTCACGTAGAAGGTTATTGTGGCTTCACCACTATGTGGTGATGCCATATTGTTTTTACTCATGTTTCTTCTCCTCCTGCATTTTATTAAATGGATTCAATTTCTTCATTTTTGATCCAAATGACATGAAATTTGGCATGAAGGTAGAGTAGGCAAATACCCCCAGGCGTTTTTTTATATATTTTTTTCGCTTTTAAAATTGTTTTATTTGTTGTTGTTTTTTGGGCCATTTTCTGACAAAATCTGTACATTTGGGGTCCTGGAGACCTGGTATTACACTTAAATAATCTGAAATTTGGTATGGGCATGCTTTATATATCTACCAACAGCAATTCATTATAATTTTTGGCATACTCTCTCTTAAATTTGCATAATTTGGGACTTTTAGGCCGTTTTTAGGTCACAATTTATGATATAGTTGGGAATGACTATCCATGAGTCATCAGTCTGGCATGCAGAGCAAGAACCAATAGGCATGCAGCTTTCCTCTATTCTTCTTGCTGATTGGCTATTGGGATTTGACTGGGTTAACTCCATGAACAGCTGCACAAAGCCATACCATATTGAAAGTAGGTACTGCATTGAAGTGTTTTGGTAGGTATGTCAAACTTTCTTGCTCAAGCATTGGAATGCGGGGAATAAACACTTTTTTAATCCTGAAAATTAACAGTTTGCATTATGCAAATAAAAATCCTAATCAATAATGTAGGGGATAGCTATCCAACTGTTGTATTCTTAGTTATATGTTACTTTATGCTATAATAGTTATATCAATGTAAAACATTGTTTCCCTTGTATTTCTCCTTCTTTCCCTGTCATGTCGTAATGTGGTGTAGCCATGCTGAATTTGCTCCAAAGCAAATGTCGGCCTTTCTATTGTTTTCGGTAGCACTTGTTTGTTTGCATGGATTTGGTGTAACACATCAAGAATCTCTGGATGGATTGCCAGGAAATTTAGCAGGTGGGTAGCTAGGTTTTGAACTAGGGGGAAAGGACTACATTTTGCACCGACTGGTGGCTCTCCTTGGTACTGCATCAGAACTTCAGGTTTTGTGTTCTGGACATGCTAGTTTTGTATGTATCAAATTCACACAAGAAAACATTACCATATCTCACATTTCTTTTAGAATACTGTTTTTTATTTACTTCATCGGTCACCACAAAACAAGGCTCATGGGAGCCACTTAGAATGTTTTGGGTTACAGAACAGCCAGTGAGGACAGATGTTTGTTGACAAAAGACTTGAAGAGTTTAAGGTTATACTCATAGGCGAAGCAATCCCGAGGTAGCTTATTCCAAAGTGATGTTGTTCTTGGAAAGAAGCTTTCAGCATGGAATTTCCTCCTAAGAGGTGGTGAATGGAGGACGAAAGGATGATTTGCTTCAGTGGAAGTGGCAAGACGTGTCCTTGTTGAGAATTTTGTTTTGAAAAGTTGTAAAGACATTTAGGGAAGCGAAACAACTCTCTTAAGTTTGTAATGTGTTTAGTACGCTGTGCTTCTTGCTAAACCCTCTCCAACTGAGAGGAGTTATCGTTTCATTGTGACAATTGTTCAGTTAAGTAATCCTGTACGCTCAAAGCACAACTTGTTTTTCTTCTTTCTAAAGGTCATTCAGTAGCAGTAGAAGTATATTATCACTATTCAGTTTTCTGTGTTGACACAGGGAATGTGTCAACAGGAAATGTCATGTTTTGGACATGCTAGTTTTGTACGTATCAACCCTTGGCAAACCAACAGTACTGACAATTTACTGTTAAGTACTGTTGTCATCTACTGAACAGTAAAAGATTTACTGAAAACGTTTACTAAATATTCACACTTTATGCAAATTCCAAGTAAATAATCAGTAATTGGGTCATGAAGAAACAGTAAATGCCCAGTTAACATTTACTGGTGAAACAGTAAATGCGGTGACACCATACAGTAAATATTTACAGGCTGAACAGTAAATGAGTGAGTTGACAAAACAGTAAATGATGGTCTTGACAGTAGATCCTACAGTAAATAACTACTGTCAAAGATGTCTGTTAGAACTGGTTAGAACTGGTTCTGAGTCAAGCACATGGTTGTTTTTCAAATACAGCACTTCAGGAATATCTCATCTTTTCATTTGCCATACCAACCAAGTAAGACTTTATTAAGTTATCAATTCTTGCTGCATGGTGTCATGGAATAGTATTGAAAGTAGAAACACCATAGTTTCAAGACACTTAACCTGGGAATGTCTATTGTTTGGCATAAACTGGGGAATATGTGGTAACTTCCCCTAGTATCCAACCTTACTCTCATGGATAGAAATGTTCAGTGTTGTGGGTGAATTCTATATGATCTTAGTTGCCTTGGTCCCCAAGCAAGAGTCCTATAGTTGGATAATGACCTATAGTTGCCCTCCAATGTCAAACAAGACATTGGTTAAAACACCAACAGTAAGGCCACACCGATTTAATTTTATGGATGACATCCGCGCGCGCATTGATTTTCGCCCGATCTCAAAAAAAAAAAAGATCACGTATTCCGAGGCTCTGGCCTGGCTTTAGGCCTGGGTAGTGCTTGGTGGTGATAACTCTGGTTGACGGCAGCCAGGCTACCGAAGCTCCAAGACTCAAGAACTCAGTACATACGTACAGCAGTGTCGATTCATATATTCCGCAAAAATCCAGCATGTGTCGGCCTGTCGTATACGTCGCTATGTAATGCGCCAAATTCACAATACCAGGTTTGTATTCCTGTGGTTTTGTAGCATTTTTATTTTTGACCGGATTTTTATTTTTTTTCGCCCGCGCGCACTAGTTTGGGGGTCTTCAGAGGATGTCATCCATAAAATTAAATCGGTGTGGCCTAAATAGAGGCATCAGTACTTACCAGTAATGCTTCAGTAAAACAGTAAAAGACGATTTCCTGGAGATTTACTGAAATTGTACTGTTAGTAGTAGATCAGTACTTAACAGTAAATTTCCAGTACTGATGGTTTGCCAAGGGAAATTCACACAAGAAAACAATTGCCAAACTCACATTTTTTTAAAATAATTTTGTTTTAAAAAGTTGTACAGACATTTAGGGAAGCAAAGCAACTCTGAGTTTGTGATGTGTTTGTTGCATATTTACGCTGTGCTTCCTGCTGAGCCCTCTCCCACTGAGAGGACTTATCCTTTCATTGTGACAATTGTTCAGTTAAGTAATCCTGTACGCTGAAAACACAACCTGTTTTCCTCATTCTAAAGGCCATTCAGTAGCAGTAGTATAGTATCAGTTTCCTGTGTTGACATAGGGAATGTGTCAACAGGAAATGTCATGTTCTGGACATGCTAGTTTTGTATGTATCAAATTCACACAAGAAAACATGCCAAACCTCACATGTTTTTAGAATACTTTGGAAAAGTTGTAAAGACATTTAGGGAAGCGAAACAACGTCTTGCTAAGCCCTCTCCCACTGAGAGGACTTATCCTTTCATTGTGACAAATGTTCAGTTAAGTAATCCTGTACGCTGAAAACGCAACCTGTTTCCTCATTCTAAAGGTCATTCAGTAGCAGTTTCTTGTTTCCTGCTGACAAAGGGAATGTGTGTCAACAGGAAATGTCACTGGGCTTGCACTCAGACCCCCTTACCTTGCTGATCCGTAGGAATTTACCCACACCCACTACCCACACAATAGTATGCTTACTCCACCTTTTAAAAGATTTGTAGGCAGTTTGCTTCACATCTAAGCTTAAAGCTTTGGGTACCACTAATGGGGCCACAGGTGGTGGAACCTTGTTTGACATTTAGATAGTAATTAATTGTATAGCTTCTTTATACAAAAACAAAATATCCCTTACATCTCTCTCAGCACTTACGCAACAGCTGCCTTCGTTATAACTGCATGTATCTACGAATAAAAAACAACAACTCAACCTTAGATTGTGTGGCGCAACGGCAGCGTTCGCGACTCGGAATCAAGAGGTCCCGGGTTCGAGCCCTGACATGCCACCGATCTTGTGCCCTTGGGAAAGGCACTTAACAAGACTTTCCCCACTAGACTCAAGTGAAAATGAGTA